GTAGTGCTGAAATAAAATTCTACAGTTGCAACACACAAAAAAAAAGACAGAATAATGACTGGACATTTTTTTGGAGGAGATGCTGACTGCCTTGAATCTGTAGCGCATAGCTGAGAATACTTGTTATATGCCTTATGAATCAAGATTAATCTCAGTTACACCTGACTGAAAACTTTAACCCGTACTAATAGTTAAAATGAGATAATAGATTTATTTCAATCACCTGAAATTCCATATAGATGATCGGGGTATAGCAGCCCATTTCAATAAGCCAGAGCACAAGTTTCTTCAATCGAGCCATTTCATCCTTCGCAGCCTTGAGGTTAAAAGGCGCTCTTTATATTCAGGCAGCAAGATGAAAGGCATACTCCTTCAGCCTTTTGAGGAATATCTCCTGAAGCTTTTACACAATGTACTAGCCCAAACTTGCTCACTGAGCAATACTCAGCTGCATAAAAGTTGAGAAAATGCATTTATTCTGGCTACCCATATGCCCAGGTGAAAATTTCATTGTTTTGAATGAAATGGAAAATTACTAGTAAAGGCCAATTTACAGGCTACTACAACACTTTTACTTTAAAGAAATAAAATATCAGATTCCTTTGTAAGGTATCATGTAAAAACACTGTAAAATAGGAGTTAGGAAACAACAAATGTTATTGTCAGAAAATACAAGAGTCCTTAGGGAAAATCTAGACCTAATGATCACCTTTGAAAGTGGTCATTTTTAATCCATCTTTGAAGGTACATTTCTTATTTTTACTCTTGAGAATTTTTACACAAGAAAAAAATTCAAGACATTTCATCTTATCTCAAGATTCCATGATACCTTCAAGCTATAGAAGTAAGAAAATCATTGCTTATTTCACTATAGCATCTTGAATGCTGGCATGAATAAATGCTATAGTCACAGCTGCAGATAACTGTACTAAAGCTACAATGTTGGTTCTTCCTTCAGTGTGCTGAGAACTTGATCCACATTGTGACCTTTGAACACATTATTTCACTACTAAGCTGCATTGACAAGAATCAAACTAAACGGTTACTAAATCTGCTGTACAGTCCCAGTGTGGTGTTATTAAATGCAGTGAAGATAACAGAATCTTCTTTCTCTCTATAACTCAGATCAATAATCCGCATGAAGTAGATTTCCACATATGCATATGTTTCTTCTCACATCCTCTAGTTTTGATCCAGATAAGAGAAACTGAGAATATAGTAGTAGGTATCTGAATAGCAGTTTATGAGATCATTGAGGGCAGCTTTAATTTGAGCAGGTATAGGCTGCCACTGTCATCTTTGGACACTGAGCCTTTTCAGGCTCACCAATACCCTGCAACATTCAGTTTTCTCTTTCCCACATTAGCTCCTGTAACCTAGATGTTTCTCTCTCCCATGTTACTCAAAGCATATGCTTTATCTCGCAACTTTGTTACACTGATAATATTTCTTGATAACTTCTGTAATTCAGGTCTTTCCATTCCCACTTCAATTCCTTGTTGCTCTGAAATAGAACTTCTATATTCAGCTTTCCATTTTCTGTTCATGTTGAGCACCCCAATGACCTTTTTACTGAAAAATACAGCAAACACTTTTCAGTCTTTGTCCAAGGGAAATTTTTATGACATGCGGCAACTCTTGTCAGTTTGAAGTTATCTCCTCCCTGGCGTAAGTTTCTGGTGATTCTATCCCTTCTGGTCTATGTACAGACAGTTGAATTAAATAAATCTTGCAGAAAAAGAATATCAAATAAATAAACCCAGCTTGTGTGGATAGCAGCAGCATCTCTGATGTGTTCATCAATTGAAATAGGTGGATGATATTAGAAACGCGGATGTGTAAAGATGCAGTGGTGTTGGACTGCTTACCTTACTATGGTTCTATTTAACAGAATTTCAGTATCATTGTATAGTATAATAACATTTTTAAAATATGTGTACATGATAGTATCCTCTGATAAATGCAGAAAAGACTTTGGTTACTTATTTTAATCCAAAAACCTGATCATGTTCATGGTATGCTTTCCCTATTATGCTGAAATATATTTTTATCCCTTTAAAATTGTTTATGGAGTACTGTATGTTTTGCACAATAATCCAGGCAGTTTTATCATACATTAGTTTCCATGTAATGACAAGAATTATACCTTTATTTTAATATATCTTATAGTCTTGCTTTTTCAGTGAATTATATTGAATTAAAATGTTAGATGTCCATGTAGAGTCAAGGTTTAAAATATTCTTTACAGTAGTAAATTCTTGCTAGCCAAGTGATGGCCACCTAAAACTGCAGCATTTATTTTTGATTAGAAACATTAAGCTACAGATTTTTAATAATTAGCAAGATATAAAAGATGTAGAAATAATGACCTGAATTGTGGTTTTCTAGTTTATATAACAACTAAGTTTTATAATCATGCATCCAACAGCAGAATTTTCTCCCGGTTATTATATAGTCAGAGTTACCTTGGCAAACAAGACAGACATAAACATCTGAGCAGCAATGAATAATAAGAAAGCATATTAAATCAAACACGGCTTGCAAAAGAATATAAGCTTCAACAAGGCTCTGAAACTGTAACTGTATGTCAGTTGTCCTGCACTAAAAAGATGTCATTTATTTCTGACTGTGATTAATGTGGATTTTTAGGTAGTCAAACTTCTTTGACACTGAACAAAGACTGTGTTATAGTTGTGTCTTTTCAGTTTTAGCTTCATGTGTAAATCTGAACAATTAGCTAATGAAATGCTGCAATTGAATTACGATTTTATTTTATTAGTATAAACCTCTCAATATTGTTATATGAGTGGAAGCATACATTTATTTCATCAGAAGGTATATATATCTAAATCCTGTAAACATCATGTCAGCAGGAGAATAACAACACGGATGCCTGGCACTGATGTGAGGTCTAACAACCACATAGTACCAAAAGATCTGAATTTCTAGAGATCAGCGCCTAGCTATGAATGAATCCCAGACAGCAGAAAAACATGTCAATGTGTGTGGTCCATAATTTGTCATTTTGAAAACAGTCAAGCAAACTAATGTCTTAGAATTACTTTGCTATGTTAGTAAATAAAAGAATAAAAGGGAAAAGTAAGATACCAACTAGCATTTTCGTGTTCTTTTCAAGTCAAATAACACACTTATGAGTGTCAAAAACTAAATAAAGGGAACATAGCCTCAGTTACCATAACTATGCAAATCCTAAGAGCAGAAAAAATGAGGTATGAAGACACATATATATTATAAAAGGTTTCATGCCATCATTTTACATACGACCTGAATAGGAAACAGAGAAGAGAGTCTTGATTTCCAAGCAGATAAGGGGATGAGGATTTTGGATTGGTAAGATTTAAAAAGATAATTGCTTGCATGCATTACATAAGAAAAGACTAAATGGAGCAACAGATATACCAGAATAATTGTGTAGTAATTAACATGCCCTCTCAGTCTTTAGGGATTTTTTTTTTTTTTTATTTCAATGGAAATGAATCCTGGCTTCCACAGTATTTCAATTGGCAGAATACCAAGTAATTTATATTTCAAATATGATCTCATCATCAGTTCCATCTGTTGATATTACCTGAGCATCATAATGTTTGAAACTGACAGTAAAAAAATACCTCAAAATCGAAGTCTGTTGAATCGAAGAAGTCCACATACTAATCAGAAGTCGAAACAAATATGTGCTTATCCTGTAAGTGCTGTGTATTTATTTTAAACCTTCACTTGCACCCAGATCTCTATCCCAATTCCAGAACTCAGGGAGAAAGGAAATACAGGCAGTTACTATAGAATTAGCACAAATAAGCATTAGACTTCCTTAACTATAACTAGAATATTTTGTATATGCCAGTATGCTGTAAAACTGAAAACTACTGACTTGCAAGCTTTAATCCTAACCAACCCTTATTTAAAGGCTATTTATAAAGTCAAAGGGTCTTTTTCCTTTCTTCTCTCACATTACAATTCAAACCTCAAAGCAGCAAATAGCAGGATAGTATGTGAAGAATGTTGGCATGAAGACACATTCTTAGTTCTGGGATGAGCTAAGAATTTTACAGATTCCTTCCTTAACCTCAGGGCTTATACCAGGTAACATCTCTTCCACATGCAGAGGAATCTGGAGGAGGAGTCTATCTCTTCCTCTCCAGAAAGCTCCCTTCACCTACTGACCATTCCCACTTCTGGCAAGCTTCCATGCTCTTTTTCAGCTTTCAAAACCCAAATTTGAGTTATTTTTCATTTGTGCTATTTTTTTCTCCCACTCAGATTTACCTAATCCTTTCCTTGGGCCAACACTTTACCTTAAATAATGGTCATTACACTTTTTAAAACTAAATTGCATTTGTTTATTTGAATGTCTGTCTCCTCTAGCTAATTTTGAGTTCTCAGTGTCTCACCAAGCTGTTATTTTACTCACCCCAGGCCACACCATTCTCCTGCAAAGAGAGAAGGTGTTTATTAAATAAAGTCTTTCTAGCATAGATCTGTCCTCACCACCAATGTGGTTCTGTCAGTAATGGGTCCTCAATCAGTATCATTGTACTGTTTCTCCTCTTTCATAATAGAATTGAAAATGTTACTACCTTACTCAAGGGGAAATCAAAAATTGTTGTTTAAAATGAATTCTGTCCAGGGAGTAAAATAGCAAAAAGGCTTAGGAACTGTTATTTACTACAGGTGGTGGTAGAGTTCGTTTGTTTGTGGTCTATCTCATGGACAGTGCATCTAGAACAATGGGATTTTCTCCAGTAGAGAGATTGTGAGAGCTTACATAAATTATCGTCTGCTACTTCATTTAATGGCTTAAGAGATTTTTGTTACCCTGAGTAAAGAAAGAAAGAATAAATGACTCTGAAATAATCGCTCAGGCTTCTCAGTTTCAGAGCAATTGTTATATATTTTGGAACATAAAAATATTGATGTAGGCAAAAGAATAAAGGGGAATAAAAGCATCTTTTTGCTAACTGTTGGTTTTTTCCCCATAATAGGCTACTCAATACTTCAAGCTATTATGGAAAAAGCAGGACAAAATGGTTGGCACGTCAGTGCTATATGTGTGGAAAATTTTAATGATGTCAGCTACAGACAACTTTTAGAAGAACTTGACAGACGACAAGAAAAGAAATTTGTAATAGATTGTGAGATAGAGAGGCTTCAAAACATTTTAGAACAGGTAAGTCCTATATTTTATCTCATTATTGATCTATTGTTCATATAAAAAATGCTGACCTTTGCCTGCTGTGTCTCCATTAATATCTTCTCTCAATCTTTTAGTTTTGAGTGTGATGTTTGGGTGTTCGATCTGATTTATCTCCAGGACTAAATCAAAATATTTTGTCATCAGAAGACACTTTGAATCTTGAGTCTCAGTAAATTTAGGAGCATCATTTCTCAGACAGCTGTAAGCTATAAACAAACAAAAGACCCTTGGTGAATCATCAAGAGCTCGTGGATCTCTATTTTCAGAAATATTAATTTTGAAGTGTAGAATATTTTCTGAAAGCTAAGAAAATTTTCAGATATGTGCCTTTTAGAAATTAGATGGATGAGAAATAGAAATAAAAATTTCCAAAACAATGAAATAAAAGAAAATTAAGTAGAATTTCATGAACAGTACATTTCTCTGCTAGACATTTTAAATATGTTAGCCACCATGATAAAGCTGATTTTCAACTGTCTTTGTAAAGGAAGACAAATATACCTTTATAAAGGAAGATAAATATACCTTGATTTGATTGAAGTAGGCAGGAAAAATTAAAACTCAGCTTTGTCGTTGCATTAAATGACAGGAAAATGTCATCCAGCGATGGCTAACTTCCACCTCCTGGCTGAGCCTGCATCTCAGAACAAATGCTTAAACTGTCTTCAGCCAAGAGCGCAGTGAGCGTGTGCCATCTAGTGGTTTCACAAACACTTGCTCGTACTCATCTACGAATGTGACAACACAGTTCGTCTAACGTTAATTTGTTACATATAGCTTTATTTGTCACATATAGATTTGCTTATTTGTGGTGATAAACTTGTCAAGTTTGATACTGACATCAGAATCACATCAGTGCTCAGTGATAAAAATCAAATCCAAAATATGTCTCAGAAATTCTACCTAGTATCTAAAGGCAGCAAACTGGATATCTAACTACATGTTGCATTTGTGCAATAGTTGCAAAATGTGCTGCATCTATAAGGTGTGAAGTCACACTGCACTACAAAAGGAACTGGCAAAGCTTTCACTGCCTGTCATTCTTTTATAGAAGAAAAAAATATCTACGACACTTATTATTTTTGCCAATATTAGTTATAAGCCTATGTAGTTCTGAGAGAGTCCAAACAAAATATGCAAGTTGTAACTTTGCTGGATATATAAACATTTGTAATGGATATTTATGGAATTAAAAAAAAAGAGAAAACGTTGTTCTCTTTCTTAAGCAATGCAGTCACTTGATTGTTGACTCCCATTTTCTCCCTCCCACGTCCACCCTCACTGAGAGTTTGAGTTGTTTGACCTTAACAACTGAAGCTTTGTAAATAACTCATGATGAATCCCACAGCGAGGCCAATTCCAAGTCCTGCCAGGCTTGCCAAATTCCTGTCAGAGGTTGAGTAAGGCTCGGAAAGACCCTCCACTCAGCACCTGTGCTTCAAAGACAGTGTCTGGAGGAAGCCATTGAGTACCCAAAGCACAGTGACCATTTCAGTGGCTTAACTGATTTCTAAGAAGAAAATCGGCATACTCAGGAGCTCAGAAAAAACTCTGAACAAGCGGTAAATGAGCTCCTGCTAAGGGCACTAGACATCTTATTTTGAGGGTCATTTCAAAGAAAACATACAACTTCGGAGTCTACCTTCCCCATTCATTTTGCTGAATTGTAAAAAGTCTCTTCTATCATGGCTTAACAGGGATAGTAAGAATAATAATAGACTTTCGTCCCTGGGACTCCTCTCAGGCAGACATCGCTTATATTATAATAGCCTGCTCTATTGTGAGAAAATAACGTACTTTCAATATCCTATAAAGTTTCCATCCTCCTCAAGAAAAGCTTTTTTGGATTCTGAACATGACTTTTTGTTACCTGTATTTTAATTCTTCATAGTTCTAAACAAAATCTCTTTTAATACTTCTTTTCAAATTTTTTTGTTCTATGAAAAAATATCATAGCAACATTATGACAGAATCACAATGGTTGAGACCTTGTATGCCATTGTCTTCAAAGTAGTTACTCAGTGGATAAAACATGGACCAAAAAGATTCTTACAGAGAAAAAAATAAACACATAGCAACAAAACTTCCTTTTTGAGTGAACTAAATTTATTAATTCAACTCTTGATTCATCCACGCAAAAAAGTTAATCCAAACTCTGTGAAGATTTTGTGTATACTTGGTTTTCAACAATGCCCATGTGTTTCAAAAATCCTTCTTCATAAATTAACAATGGAAAGCAATTTCAGCAAATCAACCGAAATGTCTTTCGAGAACTGTTTATTAGGGGCTGGGAAGGGAAGGAGACAAAGTCAAAGTCTCAGCCATGGAAGAGTAACAGCTCTGATGTTTCTACACAGAGGTTGAATCTAGTTAACAATATTATATCACATAATTCAAAACAGATAGAAGAGGACTCTGAATGCCCTCATCACAAGGAAATAATAAATATTTGACATAAGATATTACTTAAATATCCTGAGTTGTTCAAGACACGATGGAAACATCACACTTTACCCTGTAAAGATGTCTAATTCTATCAATTAAAATTATTTGAACACATTGAAAAATTAAAAAGTTAAATGCTAAATAATCCTCATCAGAGAAAATGCCTTGGAAAAAGTATCCCTTTCTCAGAAGATGGTGAACTTAATACAATGAAGAGAAGAGAATGCATTGTTACATTTCTAGAAGGGCAAGCACTCTTTGCATTATGGTGGCATGCTGTCAATAATTACTCCCTTGACATTTCAATTTGTATCCGTTTGGAAAAACATAATAGATAGAATTTACGCAGTATTCTTTGAGCATAATGGACAGCTATTGTTAGAGAAGCATTTCATCTTCTGTATGTGTTTCCCAAATTCTTTTATGTCATAAACTAATTAATTCTTATCAGTGTGCTGCTATTTTAGAAAGCAGTTATCCTTGTACTCATTTCAATGTTTCAAAACATGAACATCAGAATGGTAAATTAAATGTCTGGCCTGAGGACGCTCTGTGGCTGAACACCAGGATGATCAGGCTGCAACCTGAGTACAAATAGCTGAGTGTCATCCAGTGGCAGCAGCTGAGCCTCAGTCAGTCGCAGGCAGTCAGCTCTTTCAAATAAGGCAAACAGCAAGCTGTAGGCAATTAAACCAGCCCTCTGCCATTGCTGTTTTCTGTACACAAATGCTGCCTGACCAACTCGCAGGCCCAGAGATCTTTGAGCCTGTTCTGATTCCGATGGGTTTGAGGGGTCCAATTAGAATGTTAAAGCAAACTCAGATCTTTAATTTGTTGTCATTTTGTCCTTTGAACAAGTATATAAAAATAAACTTTAAGGCATTTTGATTCAACCTAAATAGCAAGATAAGGAAAAAAAAAAAAAAAACCAGTAATACCCACTGCACCTGCAATAGAAACATATAAACTCCATTCCAGATTGTATTGCTGACTTTCTAAATTTAATGGACAATGTAATCCATTCATCTGTAGAAAAGAACTTAAAAATTAAAAATATTGGTTAAAATTTGTTGATTTGTGATTATCGGTAAAGTCTATAGTTTTACTTAAATTAATATTTTGAGAAGTAATGCAAATTCTGTTTTGGATACAAACCTATCTCACATAATTTTATTCCTCTAAAAATGTGTAAGTTATTTTGTAGCATAGTTCAATATAGCTAGAATCTAAAGAACTATTTTCATATCACAATAAATGATTTCTAGTAGAAGATTTTTGTATATTATTTTACTTTTAGACATATCTTTTATGTTTAATTGCAAACTGGGTACTTGCAGAGTCTCTGGGATTCTAACACCTTATAAATTGAACAGGGATATTTTGCACTTTGATGCACATGTTTAACCAATAGCAAAGAAGAAAAAACTCGACCTTAATTATCTTCTTGGCATTTAAACTTATTTGAGCTTGGCCTGGTGGTGTAATCCTTGCACTCTGAGAAGTTGAGACTGGAGAATCACAAATTTGAGCCCAGCTTGGGCAACTTAGTAATTTAGAGATACTTGTTTCAAAATTTTAAAAAGAGCTCAGGGTGAAGGCCTGGGTTCAAGCTCCAATGCCACACACACACACCACCAGCAAATTATCTGACAAATAGCACTTAAGGCAAGTGGTTGCTCATACATTTCACTCAACTGTGAAATGGCATATATTAGGGTCCTATGTTAGATTTTTGCCTAGTATCAGTGAAATCTCTTCTCAGAGACCCCCAACTCCACTTCTGAGGAACAATTAAAGCAAATTATGAGTGTTTCAAAAAGAAGAAAAGGAGGAGAAATATTTTCACTCCTGGGGATGGATAAGAAATTTTCAATTGTTCATTGAAAAAAATAGATGAAGTCACCTAAAACCTATTATTCTCTTAATTTTAAATAAGAAAATTGAGCTGAGACGATATTGGAAAACCTTACTTGCTCTAAAACTCAATAATGCTATTTCCACCAAAATTTTTCTGGTGTTGTGTTTGATTGTGATGCAACATATTATTTTATCAAGGGGATAAGTCTTCAAAAAGAGACATGAGATAAAACTTAACTCAGATGACTCTTCTAGCTATTCTTTATCCATCAATATTTGTTGCATACCCCCTATACACATATATGCACACATACATCGTTATGGTTTGTGTCTAGATGTCCTCTCAAAGCCTAAGTACTCTTAGTTGGGATTTTTTTTGAAAATACCTGAATCTATAGTTTGTGATTGATTCATGGTTCAGTACTGGTATTCAGGGTGCTGGATTCAGTGTAGGTGGTTGCTGCATCAGTTCACTGATTGGATTGGCACCGCCCTAGTCCCAGCAGTCTGGATAACACAAAAGAGGCAGAAAGAGTCTTGCTGCCCACCTGTTTTGTTCCCTTAGCTGTCTTCCATAACCAGGAACTGTTGCCCTTTGCTATGTGCCACTCTGCCTTGGAGCCAGCCAATTATGGACTGCAATCTCCACAAACTGTGAGCTAAATAAACCT